GGGTTAAGGATTTAGGATTTAGGGTTTAGGGTTTAGGGTTTAGGGTTTAGGGTTTAGGGTTTAGCGTTTCAGGGTTAAGGGTTTAGGGTTTAAGGGTTAAGGATTTAGGATTTAGGGGTTTAGGGTTTAGGGTTTAGGGTTTAGGGGTTTAGGGTTTAGGGTTTAGGGCAGGGCTTACTTAAAGGATCATGGGACTTAGTACGTAGGGTTATAATTAGGGTAACTATACTTATAACCCCAATTAAGGGACTTATAACCTTACTTACCAAGTCCCATGATCCTCCAAGTAGGGGGGTTCAGGGTTGAGGGTCTAGGGTTTAGGGTTGAGGGTTTCGGGTTTAGGGTTGAGGGTTTAGGGTTGAGGGTTTGGGGTTGAGGGTCTAGGCTTTAGGGCTTTGGGTTTAGGGTTTAGGGCTCAGGATTTGGGGATGAGGGCTTAGGGCTTGGGTTCAGGGCTAGGGGTAGGGTTCCTTTAAGGCTTCCTACGAGGACTCCTAGAACAACTTCCAGTAAGGGTTGCTTTAGGAGATCTTCGACGCACTTTTGAGGGTTTGGGGGTTTAAGGGTCCAGGGTTTAAGGGATTAGGGAGGGGTTTGGGGTTCAAGGCGGGTTTAGGGTTGTTTTAGGGTTTAAGGGTTTAGGGGGGTTTAGCGGTTTTATGGTTTTCAGTTTATGGGTTTAGGGCTGGGGGTTTGGATAGTATCTTCGAGGCACCATTCACAAAGGGGTATGGAATCGTTACAGTGCGTTTCACGGGCGCTATCGGTTTTTCTTTAGGTTTAGGGATGTTTAGGCAGAAGCCCTAAACCCTAAACCCTAAACCGTTTCAACATTTAGGGCATTTAAAAAAGGCTTGCAGCTCAGAGTGTCAAGGTTTCGTGAATGATGCTAGGGGTCGGAATAATTAGCCAAGAGGGTTCATATACACTACTACCTAGGTTCCGGAGTAGTACGCTTTTGCCTTTTGTTATTGCATGGTCCCCTTTCTAGGACATTCGCAGGTGGGTAGTTGCCGTTATAGGAGCCTTATACAAGGTCTATATACCTTATAGAAGCCTTATAGAAGCCCTATATACTCTAAACTCCCCACCAACCCTAACCCCTAGCCCCTAAACCCTAAACCCTAAACCCATTAAAGCCGAATCACGGCCAAAAAAGGGTACGCTTATTGTTCAGGGATCGCCGCCATCTCCAGAGTCGATAGGCCGGGCAGACGCGGAGGTTCTGGCTCGGCTGGCAGAAGATTCCCAAAGGGGTCCAAAGTACCGATTTAGAAGTAGAATGTATTAGGGTTTAGGGTTTAGGGTTTAGGGTTTAGGGTTTAGGGTTTAGGGTAGGGCTTCTATATTGGGAATTACTATTATGATTTGGGGAAGTATCCCCAAATCAGTACCTAGGACCCTTTGGGATCCATGTCTTGCGTGACTCATCGAAGCGCACCGCAAAGGAGGCATCGGCAGCTGTGGGCCTAAACCCTAAACCCTAACCCTTAAACCTATAAACTCTTACCACCGCGGTGAGGATGGCCTCGCTATCGGCCTAGACCCTTGAGGCGCCGAGCCTGGGAGCACGCTTTGCGCTGGCTGGCCAAGGGCTTCTTGGCCATACCCTAAGGCTCCGCGCTCTTCTGTGGCCCTTGCGTCCCCACCTCATGTGGGCATGCCCGAAGACAGCCGAGCACCGGCGTCGCCTCAGGCCCCCACGAACAGACTTGAGGAACCTAGCTATTATGGATTCAAGGTCCCTGGTCAGAGAGATGATTCGCTGAAGTGGCGTCAAAAGTTGATCAGCTACTTGAAGACCAAGTTTAAGGTTGAGATTTGCGGTGCATGCCCAGCACTTATCTCGATCGATGGCAACAACCTGCTGTTGCAGGTGGAAGACCTGATTATCGTAGGCCGTCGCTCCTGGTTGCTCGAGCATTTTGTGCCAGCCCTTGAGAAAGGGTCTGAGTGTTCCTGGGAAATCGCATCTGAAGAGGGTGACTGTCTGAATTTCGTGAAGCGCCAGCACCGCGCGACTCAAGGCGGCGTGATTGTTGAAACCCAGAACCCTAAACCTTAAACCCTAAACCGTTCTGTGTTCCAAGGAGCTTCTTTTGGCTTCCGAAAGCAAATGCTCTACATCAATCCAAAAATCCACGATTAGAATGGTCTAATTCCACATGGGTAATATCTTCGGACCACGATTAGACTTGTCTTTTGGGGTCTCATTCCATAGCGGTCGTATTTTCGGACATTCTGGGTAATGTGTGTCCTCGTGTCCCTTTAAAGTTGGTGTTATCAGGGCGATATACCCTAAGACCCTGTTCTAATTCTCGAGGCCGCCGTATTGAAATTCAGGTCTAGGGCTTAAGTCCTTGCCGGACCCCCCATTGCCATAATGTATGTATTTATATGTATATATATATACATATATATGTATTTGTTTCTCTCTCTCTCTCTCTGTTTCTCTCTCTTTTCCTCTCCCTCTCTCTGCCTACATAAAAAATTTTCAGATACATATGAACTCTTCTATATCTACCTATGTATCTATCGGTCTATCTCTCTATCTATCTATCTATCTATCTATCTATCTATCTATCTATCTATCTATATATCGATCTATTTATCTCTAGCTCTAGCTCTAGCTCTGTCTCTATCTCTATCTCTTTCTCTATCTCTATACGTATCTATATCTCTATCTCTCTCTTCTTCTCTCCCTCTCTGTGTCTCTCTCGCTCTCTGTTCTTCTCCCTTTCCCTCTAAGGTTCGAAGTTTAGGGTTTCACACGCGCTAAGATAGATCCTTGTTAAAGATGCTCATCTTTGGGATCCTCTAACAGGTTTGAGGTTACGGTTGATGACCTGATAGACGCACTATAGTATAAGGGCCTAGATAATTTCCTATACTGTTTCGGGGGGTTCCTTACTACAACTACAGTATAGTATACCCCGAAACCCTATTCTACTCATTATGATTCCCTTATAAATCACCCCAAAACGGTTTAAGGTTCAGCTACCATGTAAGGATTCAGATTCAGAGCCCTACACCCTAAACCATGAACCCTATAAAACCCTGTAGACCCTAACCCTAAACCCCATAACCCTAAAACCCAAACCGCAAACCGCAAACCCTAAACCCTAAACCTCAAACCCTAAACCCCAAACTCTAAACCCTAAACCTCAAACCCTAAACCTCAAACCCTAAACCCCAAACTCTAAACCCTAAAGGGTAGATGGTATAGGGCCACCTGGTCCTCCAGGCCGTGAGGCAAGGCAATTGTACCAAATGCTAAGACCTCCCCCCCCAAGATTGGAGTTTACCATAAGGGTAGTTCTCTAATTAGGGCCCCTTTTAGGGTCCTATTTATACCGGTGCTGTACTATATTGGGCACCCAAAAGGGGACCCTAATTTGGAGAACTACCCATAAGGAGGAAATCATATTAATTTGTTTATCGTAACTTAACTGAGCCTAAACGCTAAACCTTTAAAAACACAAGCAGAAACCGCAGGCCATCATCCGTCTGGTGCCGGTCTCGGCTTATTTTCTCGCTGCAGATTGATTACATAGATACGTCAATCGATAGACAGGGGAAGAAACTTATTTTACATACATATATACATATATATATATATATGGATGCCCATGTGTGTACAGTGCATGTCCAGATTTGCTTGTACGTTGATCATCATTGCACTATACATGGCTGAGGGCTTGGGCGCTAAGGTTTCCTACAGGTTGGGAGGTGGGGCCCTTTTAAGGATAAACGAAATGCTGCCTTGATTAGCCTTAAGTGTAAACCCCTAATTCAACCAACCTGTAGTAAACCCACCCTAGACCCTATTAACTCTCAACCCTAAACGCTACTAAGGCTTTTGGGCCTAAAAGCCTCAGAACATGAGTTCTTAGTGCCTCGGGGTATAGGTCAGGTTTGCAGGGAAGACTTTGAGCCATACATAGGTAGTTCTCTAAATTCCGGTACTTTTTTCGGTCCCCCAAATTGATAATACGTCACCCTTATGAAAATTGATCCTAAAAGGGACCCTGATGTAGCTCCCCACATGGTCCACCACATGTGGCAACGAGGCTTTTATATTTATCAGATGGTCTTGGCAGGGTTTGGGGGTTTATTGGAGTACGGATACATGGTGATTGTAGTTGCTCGGACCCCTAGATTCCCAAGATTCTACAATTCTTCCCAGGTTAAAGGGCTTCAAGGTCCAGGGTTCAGCTGGGCTTATGACCCAGGCTTCAAACATGTCAGCCTCTCCAGAAAGTCGGTGCAGATGGCGCCGCAGAGTTGGTCAAGGACATTGCGGGATCTGGGCCGTCGCTAAGATGTTTGGGAGCTGAAGGCTCGCATTCTGCCAGCCGGGAAGCGGAGAAGTGATCTTGGACTGTATGCGGCGGAATCCTTCAAAACGTGAGCAAATCACTGCTGGATTACTCGCTCCCAGCAAGTCATATATAGGTGAAAGCATGCGGGTTGAACATCTACGGCTTTGAGGTTTAGGAAGTAGGGTTGACAGCTTAGGGATTTCTAGGTGAACCCTCTCTTGCATACTGCAAGGTTCAACGGTCGGCAAGCTGCCCTCTTGGCCGTTGCCGCCAGCATGGTGCCCGTAGCCAGCAGCGTCGGGAAACAGCAGTCAAGACAGCTCCCCTCCTGCTCTTCTTCCTCGTTTCATGGCCACGTAAAATAGGGGCCTAAAGAATTAGCTGCACCTTATATACTGGGCCCCCAAACCCTCTTCTAATTATTCAGGAGCCTACATTATGTAATGCTGCCTGCTTGTCTGTAGTCCCCATACAAGTGCATCAGACTTCATATATACAGACTCTTCCAGCCCTGCGGATTTCGGTTTAGGATTTAGGGTACCCTAAACCCTAAACCCCAAACCCCAAAACCCTAATCCCAAAAGCCCCAAAGCCCTAAACCCTAATTAAGCCCCCAAACCCTAAACCCTTTTCCCTAAACCCCAAACCTCTCCAGAACCCGTAAATGTCGTCCCTGAGGTTTCCTTCTTCAGCCTCAGCAAGGTCGACGGCCCTCTGTCCCCCGCCTCAAAACAAAAGCCAAGGGTTTAGGGCCGTTTAGGGTTCAGGGTTTAGAATAGTGCAAGATCGAGGCCTTTATTTGGGGGTTTCCGAAAATGGGGGACCCTAATATAGTACCCTAAATAGTAGGATCGTTATGAGAAGGACCCCAAAATAAGGTACCCTTATTTTCGGAAACTCCCATTTGGAGTTCAGGTTCGGGTTTCGTTTGTGTCATTCACTGTCGACGTGGGTCTTTGGGGGCTGGGGCTGTCGAGGGTCTGGGTTTAATGCATTTGGGTGGGAAATCCACGAAACCTCAACGCCCGAAAGCCTGAACCCTAAACCTGAAACCTAATCCCTAAACCCTCAAAGCCCTAAGCCCCAAAACCCTTAGAGCCTTAAGCCCCTAAACCCTGAAAGCCTGAAACCCTGAACACGTCTGGAGCAGCTCCCATCTGATATTATAATAGGTAGTATGAGGGAGACCCCTTAAAGGGCGAAAACAGATACCTACTGTTGATGGACAAAATCCTGCATGACCCTATATACCTAAACTGTGGGATTTATGGTACTATACTATATTTGGGTCATGCTGGATTTTGTCCATCAACCGTACGTTAGGCTGCCTTTGGCTCGTTGTTTTCTTGGGGGCTTAAAGCGCCCCAGTGCCACTTCATTCTGTAGGCTTCCTTTTCGGGTTCTGTTGCTACTGGTGCGCTACTGCCACTGCTACTGCTACGGCTGCTGCTACTGCTACTGCTGCTGCTGCTGATGCTGCTGCTGCTGATGCTGCTGATGCCAGCACCTACATTTGATCACCCTCATCACCTCACCTCGTGATGAGGCGGAAGCGACACTCATTACTGTTTTTTCGTTTGTGTGTGCATCGCTCCCTGGGTGGGGTGAGACGAAGCTGATGGATGTCACTGAGATGTCTCATCGACAACTGCGGCAACACGGCCCGCCCCGAGTGGGTACACAGCCTTCTATGGGCTGCGGTGTTCGGTGAGGAGCGCAGCACCAACACCGACGTGGGCTACCTCCAATCCGTGAAGGCGGTATACGAGGAAAAGTCCCCAGAGCTGTCGCTGCATGTCGCCCTCAAGGACACTGAAGACCTGTGCAGCCTCAAGGAGCAGAACTTAGTGGCTGAGTAGGTAACCTTTATAACCTTTTGGAGTTTATATAATCCTACCATAATTGAAAAGGTGAACCTTTTTGGGCTAGGGTACTCAGCACCTCAGGGAAAAAAGGTTTCTGAGGGATTGGGGAAGATCCAGCTCGGTGATAACCGCGGCCGTGAGAAAGCCCTCGTCTGCCCTCTTCAATAAATGGAAGGTTCGGAAAATAAGGGGTACCTTAGTTGGGGGCCTTATAATAAGCATCCTACTATTTAGGGTACCTGAATAGGGTCCCCTATTTTTCGGAAATCCCCCAAATCCTTCATACAGCGATACAATGTAGTTGAGGGGCTCTAAGTAGGTAGTGTCCCTGACTAGGTTTCCCAGTGGGCAGCAGTGGGCCCGTTGTCCTTTTCGGGGTCTGAGTCACCTTCCTTGTAAAACTACCCCAAACCTAGGAACAAAAATGAACCCTGCGATGCTAGGTTACTGGGGATCCGCGTAACGATTCCTGCACCTATCCAGAGACTGAAAACTCTTGAATTAAGGAACAAATTGAGGGATGCTCAATACACATCTACTCCACGATTTACATGAAGGAGTTTGTTGAGCGTATGTAGAGCTCCTGTTGAATATTGGTAAGCGTATCCTTTGGACCTTTTCGGTGGACACTAGTACGGAAGCCCTCCTTCACGTGGGAGTTGCACACGCCCTTAAAGTAGAGCCAGACTAGTGCTGTCCTTGATATAAGCACGCCTACAAGGGACACGGTCCCAAAACAACGCTTCAAAAGGTATGCAGAAGTGAAGAAGGCTGGAAGGGGCTTGAGAATTGCAGGGTTCAGAGTTTTGGAATTGAGTTTTGGGTGTATGTACAGTGGAGTTAGGGTCCAGGTCTGTATGTAGGATTTTCGGGTCGAGGCTTCGTCATCAGGGCGGAGACTTGTAGGGCTGTTGATCTAGAGCCCTAAACCCTAAGCCCTAAGCCCTAAACCCTAAGCCCTAAACCCTAAGCCCTAAACCCTAAACCCTAACTAGGATTTGGATCCAGGCTGCATGGTGCTGTAATGTAGGAGCCTTAATAACTAGAATAGGTTTGTGGNNAAAAAAAAAAAAAAATAGTTTAGGGAATTATCAAGGCCCCTTTTTTTTATGGGGGTTGAGGGTCTAAATCTATGGTGCATCATTGCATGCGATCCTTGGTCCTAGATTGCCTAGTAGCTTCAGAGAGGGTGTGTTGCTATAAGCCTCTTTAGGATTTAGGGTTTAGGGTTTAGTGTCGGAGGCACTTTCCAGCCAATCGGCGAGTTCTTGAGATGCAATTAGTAATAGTCTACCCTGCAGTATGGTGGTTGCAACTTGGGTTTTATGGTTCAAAAAGCTTGGCGGTCCGGGGGTTAGTGGTTTCGGGGTTTGGGGTTTAGGGTTTAGGGTGGCGACGCAGATTGTTCTGAACAAGCTTAGCAAAATCTACGACGACATCCTAGGACCTAGGAGCTCATGAAATCGGTTCAAGGTTTAGGGCCGTCAGGGTGTAGGATGAGGTCCTAGGACATATGGCGGCTGGGTTTCAACTGGATTCTAAACTTTGGCCCTAAACCCTAAACCCTAAACCGTAAACCCTAAATCGAAAATTCCAAACCCCAAAACCCTAAGCCGTAAACCCTAAACCGAACTTGACCTTCAGGGTTAGGGCTCCTGTCATGCTTGCCCTAGACTGGTAGTCCCGAGGTCGAGTAGTGGAGGGGCCTTAATAATTAGAATAGGGGCCTGGGCTCCCTAATAGGGTTTAGGGTTTAGGGTTTAGGATTTAGGATTTAGGGTTTAGGGTTTAGGGTTTAGGGTTTAGGGTTTAGGGTTTAGGGTTTAGGGTTTAGGGGTTTAGGGTTTAGGGTTTCATAGCTATAGTAGTAAGGAACCCTATAAAGAATAATATTGGTAGTTGTCTGGGCTTCTATATGGGTAGTTCTCTAAATTAGGGTCCCTTTTTAGGTCCCCAACATAGTACGGCACCCTTACTAAAATGGACCCCAAAAGGGACCCATATTACGCAGACGCCCCAAACCCTAGGCTTGCAACAAACCCTAACCGTCCCTAACCCCCCGGGTACCTACTATATAGGGTACTAGAGCCCCTGGGCCCTATATAGTAGGTACCTGGAGGGTTGGGGAAAGCCTTTGATGGCGACTGTCGGGGTGAGGCGTCCTGGGCTTCCGGTGGCTTCAAGTAGGGTTTAGGGTTTAGGGTTTAGGGTTTAGGGTTTAGGGTTTAGGGTCTCTTCGTCAATTATCCCAGTAGCCAGCCCGCGGGTCAGTAATATAGGGGCTCAAATAATTACAAATTCGATTTGGGGGTTCCTTATTATAATATTTTAGAACAATATACCCCAAACCCTATTCTAATTACTAAGGCCCCTACATTCCATAAAGGCCACTCCGTTTGGGGCGGGTGGCTCCCTAAAGCATAAATTAAGACACTCGTTTCAGACCGCGACCTATTGAACCCCCCCGAGCCTGACCTACAACCACTGCAACCTCGTCATTTATCGGTCTTGAGCCCGACCCCTAGAAAAGCGATCTCCGGGATCCCACAAGAAACGTGTAGCCACACGAGTTTAAGGTAAGCCCAAACTAAACCCTGGCAATTTAGGCTGTCTTCAACTTGCATGTTGGTCTTGCAGACTCTTATGCAGGTTTTTATTCATGAGTGATCTCGGTGCTCTTGCATCCCGAACCCTACATAAACCTCCAGAGCCTTCCATGTTCCAGAAAGTTGTAATTCCGAACCCCAAGGCTTCCCCCCCAACACCCCAAAAAAGCATGGTCTTTGGGCCCGAAAGCTTTAGAATGTGAGTCCTTAGAGCCTCAGGGGAAAGGGGAGGCAATTTCTTAGAGCCTAGGTACCGTAGGAGCCTGAATAATTGCCAATATTGTTTTGGGGGCTCCTGGTCATGATCATACTATGGAGGAGCCCAAAAAAACTTCTATTCTAACCATTAAGGCGCCTACATTAGGGTTTTAGGGAGTAGGCTTTAGGGATTAGGGTTTTAGGGCTTTAGGGTTTAGGGTTCAGGGCTTAGGGTGGCCCCATGGCGCTTCTCCAGCGCTCGGCCAAAGCTCTCCGCGCTGTATCCGCCTCCGCGGTGCTGCGGAGGGGCTTCGCCAACGGGTGCCTTGGGGGACGGGGGACCGGGTTCTTGGGTTCTTACCTGTGAGTGGCTTAGGGTTTAGAGGGTTTAGGTTTAAGGGCTTAGGGATTAGAGGGTTTATTCGGATTTAGGGTTAAGGATTTAGGGTTAAGGGTTTAGAGGTTTAGGGTTTAGGGTTGTGTGCCCAGAGTCCTCTGTACTCGACGCTCGGTCTAGGCGATCTTCGACGGTGCTGTCATCAAGAGCTTGCGCTCTAGCAATCCAGAAAGTTTTGGGGACCTTCCGCTTGAAATTCAAGCGAGACGCAGTCCCTTCCGCCAAGGCTCTACCCATAGGCCCCATATATAGTAGTTCCTTTTGGAGGCTCATATATAGAATCCTATAAGGTAACCCCAAAAAGGAACTACTATGGGGCCTATGGGTACAGTGTCGATGCACAGCATATCCCTGCTTTGGGGGCTCTTTTTGCATCCTCAGAGCCTTTGTCAACTTGTCATCTTGACCTTTGGTATCTATGCCGCAAGACTTGAACCGAGACATCGTGAGGACTTGGGGAGTCCAACAGTGACTCTGATGAGGCTGTGGATAAAAATACTGTTTTCGACATTGGTTTAGATGCTCTCGAGCTTTTCCTGTGCATGTATACGTAGAAAACGCCCAGTTCTGCACTCTCCGGCGCCTTTGTCGAAACAGTACTTCTTCCACTTTAGATGCCGCCTCCTGCCGCCAGTCCCCGAAAGTATGAATGGCGCGGACTCACGTGACGAAGCGACGGGCACAGCTGTGGGCGTGTGTGTTGAAAAGCGCTTGCAGACTGGGTGCTACTGTTGATAGACAAAATCCTGCATGACCTTATACACCTAAAGTATGGGATTTATGGTACTATACTATATTTGGGTCATGCAGAATTTTGTCCATCAACCGTATGGCTACCTGGCAGCTGTTACCCACTGGAGGATGACCGGTTTAGCCGAGCCGCAAATACTTGGTTGAACTTTACAGTCACTTTATAGCCTTATCACTTTTCGGACTGGCCTTTTTGATATTAGGGGTACGAAAAGTTAAAATTTTAGCAAGGCAATAAAGAGCAACGCAGAATAGTATGGGTAGCCTTGACAATAGTCTGGACAAGGTTGTGTTTCCCTCAGGCTCAACATAGCCCCAAAAACCCTATAATAAAGTGTGGTCTTTCGGCCAAAATGCCCTTGAATATGAGTCCTCTCAGGGTTTGCTATAGTATACTTGTCTAGGCACCATAAGGAGCTACCCAGGACCTCCAGGTTGCTGAGTTCCTTATAGTGTGCTTATCGCGGTTTAGGGTTTAGGGTTTAGGGGTTTAGGGTTTGGGGGTTTAGGGGTTTAGGGGTTTAGGGTTTTGGGTTTAGGGTTATGTCTAGAGGTTATCCAGATCCTGGAATTCTAGCGAGCGTGCGCCGAATTAAAGACTTCGTGTTAAGCCCTAAGCTTCTCAACATCTAGAAAAGCCTCAAGCAACGATACAAGAGCTCATACGAACCCTAAAGCCCAAACCCAGAAGCCAGACAGCCAAGAGCTCTCCATTTTTCGAGACCCTGAGAGCTGTAGCCCCCAATTTCGGAGGCTTCAACCCGTGGGATGATGTTTAGGGTTTAGGGTTTAGGGTTTAGGTAGGGTTAAGCACCCCTTACCTAGGGACTCTGAACTATTTGATTACCTCACCTACCTTCATCCTACCCTTGGGGCCTTTGGAAACATACCTACACTGCTTCGGGCTCCTTATGATGATTTCCTTGCAGCTCCTCCAGCAAGAAGGTTCTTGGGGCTGCAAGCACGGTACACTAGTAGACCTGCGCTGAGCCATGCTTCTTAAATCATGTTCAGGATACCAGAGACGGCCCTGTGGGCTTAGAGGTGTATCATTATCTTCCTTGACTGAAGGGTAAACCCTGAACCCTCCAGCCCAAACCCTAACTAAACCCTAAACCCTAAACCGAAAATTCCAAACCCTAAACCCTAAACCCCAAACCCTAAACCCAAACCCTAAACCCTAAACCGAAAGTTCCAAACCCTAAACCCCAAACCCCAAACCCTAAACCGAAAATTCCAAGCCCTAAACCCTGAACCACAAACCCTAAACCCCAAACCCTAAACCCTAAACCGACTTCCTTGTGGGAGAGGTACATCCAAAGAGCCGCTGCAGAGGGTAGCCAGTCTCTGCTCGGCCCCTTTCAAAGTAGCTTGGATTTGCTTTTGCTCCGGGGTTTAGGTTTTAGGGTTTAGGGTTTAGGATTGAGGGTTTTCGGTTAAGGGTCTGGGGGTTTAGAGTTAAAGGTTTAGGGGTTCAGAGTTTAGGGGTTCAATGCTCAGGAACTCCAGAAACCCTGGCAAAGGAATCCCTGACAAGGTGCCGGATGCCTTCCTGAATGGAGGAGGGAGATGCTACATTACGCGCTTGACTTGGGAACATACTTGAAACTGAAACTACAAGGGGCTGCATACTGTAATTTATGGTATGTTAGCGGGTTAGGCTATGGGATTTCACGGTTTAGGGCTTCACGGTTTTAGGTTTTCGGGTTTGAGAGTTTGAGGGTTGGGTTGGGTTGGGTGTCTTGCTGTTTAGGTCTTTCGGGCTTTAGGGGTTTAGGGTCATTACGACGACGAGGACGGCAAGTGACTACTACTCCTT